ATCTTCTCCGTTCCCCTCTCTTTAAAAGCTCCCAGTTCTTGCCACCACCAAACTTCAGCTATCCCACCTATATTTTGAAGCCTAGTATCCCAACCCAAGTTCACTACAAAGAATCCATCTCTCTAAGCTTTCCTTGGCAAAATAATCACAAACAAGAAGCATCATTCCTGCTTAATACAAAAACCCAATAATGACGCTATATTCATATGCCTGATTTTCAGCAACTTTTCAATTTCAGCCATTAAGCCTTTTCCAAGCTGCATCTTACCAAAATTCTTCTTTAGAATCTTAATCATCACCAGTTCACCATTAGGAAGCTCAACTCCATAAACATAGCCAAATTTTCCTGTCCCAATTGAGCTTTTTTCTCTTTGAGGAGTGAGTAAACCTCGAGTTCCTATACCCCAACAGAAGGAATGGAGTTATAGGTGTTCAGGCAAGATATTTACTAGAAAGAAGCACACGAAGAAATTATTCTGACAAACACCTCGGGGTATGAGAAATCCTCTTGAACCAAAAAGGGGTATGAGAAATCCAGAATGTTTTTTGGCATTAATATGGTGATTAGAGTTTTTTTTGGCCAAAATATTTCGTAAATTTCTCACTGTAAACTGAAAAAGAAAGAGAGGCATTTAGATTGGACCAAAAGTGTTAAGCGAGACAGAGGAGAGAGAGACGATGAGAAAGAGCGGAGAGAGACGATATAGAGAGAGGAACTTTGGATATTAGAGAGAGAAATGAAATTTTGAGAGAGAGAGAGAGAGAGAGGTGTTTTGAGATAATCATGAAAGGAAAACAAAAGCATTGAGGGCGTCATTTTAGTTTTTGTTTGGGTCAAAAATTCATGGTCAAAGAGGTCCAGGGGGTTGTGAGTTAGAAAAGATGGAGACCTTTTGCTTACAAGTAATATTTTCAATCTTTGGGTCTCAAGAATACAGAAGTAAAAAATAAGGGATAAGGAGACATTTTCCCACTAAAAATTGTGGGACTCATCTAATTCCAATAAAAATCTCTTTCTCAATAACGGATGATAATTGTGGGATGGAAGCAAACTTGCAACTTCCTCATGATTTGTAATTGGTGGGGTGAAAAGAGGAATCTTATGATGGATGAAAGCAGCAAATGATTAGATAATTCCGTGAACAATTTTAGGTGATCCCACAAGAAATCCCATACTTAAAGCCGCAATATAGTCCACTGATAAGATATCTACAATATAATTAAGTGGCCAAGATATGTTTTATAGACATCACACATATAATGCCTCTAGAGAGAAAGGAAAATTGCTGAATAATTGCTCACAAACCTTGCAAAGAGGACATTGTATCGATTTTTGCGACTCATGGCATTGGCTAGCAGCCACATTAGCCCAACGAGTGATACAGTTGTAGCAGAATTCATCTGCTCATTTGAGATCGAGGACAAAAGTTATCAATAAGTAGAGAATGTGCACAAAAATATGCCAAATTTGCAAAAGATAAAAGTAGGTTAGACTTTGTAACCATAGTTCATTAGGATGCCATCTTACATGCCATCAGTGCAAAGCTCTTTATCTCAAAGAATTTTACTATTGGTTTCAAATTCAGTTTCATTCCTAGCCACCCAAGGAGCAGAAAGATATGTTCAACATTCATTCTAGTACTCATACTATGCAGCATATGTGAATTCAAATAAGCTAAACCTTATCTTACAAAGACACAGATACCTGTGTCAGCATCTGACATGGGTAAACCCTTAAAATTATCTTGACAGACACGACACATCCATACACAATAAAAAGGAAGCAGGTGGGATTGTAGGTAACTCTAAGTACGTTTATAATGAGAATTCAAAGAAACGAGAAGAAGAACTGTCTAGGTTTCTAAGTTGTCAGATGTGGGTGCCGTGTTCGTGGTATTTCAACATGTTTGTGTCCATGTTATATAGGCTAAACCAATTGACAAATCCAGATAATGATAGTTATAAACATAAAAAAAGAAAGATAAGTTAATTCTATCAAACATTTCTTCATGGCTAAAGCAAAGGTAGACACATATAACCTCATTCAAAGTAGGATCAAGCAAGAATTTGTCTCATACAACCTTTAAACACCTCTCCCCATCCAAAGATCAGAACACCACAAGTGAGGGGCATCACCAAAAAGACTTAAATTCCACAAATCTGAGCCCAGAAAAGGAGCTTTTCTCAATATAATTAATGAATGCTCATAGTCTCGAAACGGGAATCCTTTGATTCTAATTAATCAGCATGAACCAATGTCACCTAAATCACACATGACAAAAATGGCATCGATCACATTCAATTAGTAAATCAAAGTCACCCAAATTTCACACATGAAAATAAATCATCAATTAAGTTCCATGAGATTACAGTAGGAAAGATTTCATCAATCAAATTCTATGCGTTAACAGTTAAAAAAAAAATCCATGAGTCCTCAGCACTTAATATCCAGGATAACCCAAACTCAAATTCAACATCAATAATCAACTCAGGAATACAGAAGATGGAAATTAGGAGGAAACCCCGACACTAAAAAACAAACAGAATGGAAAGAAATGAAAATATAGGCAATAAATTCAAGCTAAAACAAAAGAAGGATCGCCAAAAGAAATCGAGATGCAAACTAGGAGCAAAACCTATCACTCAAAAGCTAAGAGAGTGCAAGAAAATAGAGATGTGGGCAATAGATTAAAGCCAAAAAACGAAACAAGACCAAAAGATAAGAAGGAGAGAGAGCTCACGAAAGCAAGTGTCGAGGTAAGAGTTTTGATTGAGGGAGTGAAGGCATATAGGGCAACATCTGTTGGGTGGGGAGCCCGCGTCCGCCATTGCCGCCCGCTTCCTTTCTCTGTGAATGTTTTAACCGCTTTATAAAAGGGGGGTGCAGTTTGCATCCGTAGATGTAGACGTACGGTCCACCTTCAAAATTTATCGTGGTATATAATTTTAATTTAAAATGTTATTAGAATTATCTCAAACGAAAAAGTTTATATAAGGACGCTGCCTTATAACGAAGAACTACCGATGCCCCTAAAAAATTCGGAAAGGTCAAAAATTCGGAAAGGTAATTTTAATGTTGAAAAAAGTTGATCTCGTACGATTACAAAAAAATAAAAAGATTTTAAGTCTAAAAAATAATGCATTTAACAACGTATTAGGGAAAGCTTTCCATGTTCCCTTACAACATAGAAGTTCTATGTTTCCTTTATCCAACCCTCCATTTTTTAATGGAGGGTTAAGATTGCCCCAATCACAATGTCACGTATCTATGCTGTTTTATTTTTAATTTTTTTCTATAGACTGTTTTGACACCAAATTTTGGACTTCCATTCTTATATTAAATTTGCACTAACGAAAAATATAAAAAAATATTTTTAATAAAATAAAATGACCAAAATACTCCTGAAAGATTCAAGAGGTATTTTGGTCATTATTTTTTATCGAAAAATTATCATTAATATTTTTTATAGGTGCGCCCCAATGATAAGATAGCACATACCAAATTTAATATTCAAGAAAATTTTATTAAAAAAATCTAAAAATAAAATACTTTGAGACGTCAGATCTAAGATCAAAAGGTGAGTGACTCTCTTGATAAAAAAAATAGACGACTGGATGGTAGGGGAAACATAGAAAGCTTTCCCAACATATTATCTATACCATCCATTTTCAAGATTTTCATATATTTATAGATCTACTTGATTTTAACCATTTTTTAAATTTAAAATTTTATAATTAGATATAAAAATAGATTTTGAGATATTCCTAAGAACATTTTACATCAAAATTATATACCATAATAAAATTTGAAGGTACACCTTACCTCTACACCTACGGATGCGTCCGTATGCAAACTGCACCCTTTTTCAAAATCTATTTTTATATCTA